CACAAGGAATAAATAATAATAATAATAATAATAATAATAATAATAATAATAAAACAAGGAAAAGAACACCAGATGATTAAAAATAAGCTATTCTGTACAAATAAAAAAAGATCATGTGACAACATACAACAATGCAGTTAATCTACCTCTACATCTGCAGACAGCACAAGTTTTGACACAGCAACATGGATGATTCATGGAAAGTCACAGGTACACCTGGCACCCAGTTCACTCCCTCTGTGGAGGCATTTCCTGGTTTGCATGTGTCCATGCCTGCATACCTGTGCTGCTCCTCTCATGTCAAGACATATACAGCTACAGGACTGATTTGTGATTAGTCATATCAAAGTAGCACACATATACCCAAAGCTTCTCCTTTCTGAATCTCTGCTCATGCATGCCTCTCTGTGAAGATGTTAAAACTGCCAAAGATGTCAGACTGTGATGAAGAAGTGATACAGAATCCAGTCTGTAAAAGGTTGATTGGGACGTGAGGCAGCAAAACCCGGCCCACGTTGTTTGGGTTCTAAGCAGACAAGTCGGTGGTAATTAATCCCCTTTAACAGACTCTAAATGCTCCATGCCCTCTCCCATCCGCAGCAGGCCTATGGGGAGGAGGCTAACGGCTAAGCTAACGCCACTGTTAAATATTTTGGGCTCACCATCCCACCTCGCCGGCTGCTCTCATCCCGGCTGCACAATGTCGAGGCATTTCCGCGCTAAAAACGTAAACAAAAGCAACACTTACTTCCCGAGAGGACGGGGCTTGGGGACGTGCTAAGGCCCCAGCTGTCGGAGACCCCAATTTTGTCTTCTTTTTAGCTTATTTGAATATTTTGGTGATGGGGGAAATCGGCTCCCCCTCTGCCATTCTCCATTCTACCGACATCAACAGGTCATCCCAGGACACGCAGCAGCTGAGGGCGAGCCAGACGGAACCAGTGCGGCACGGAGCAGAGGGGGGGTCGGTGGGAGCACAACAAGGCACAATTCTTCGAAACCGGCTATCGCAAGAGGCTGCCGGGCCAAAAAAAAAAAAAAAAAAAAAAAAAAAAAAAACTTGGAGAGACTGTTT